TTAAACCATGATTATAGTTTATACTGTCCTCACATGCATATTTGAAAGAAGGTTATGGCAAAGAGACTAATTTGGCAGATTTAATTTTTTAATTTTTAATTTTTTTACAAATATTCTTTAGTGGTGATGCACGAAAAAATAGTCAGAAATAACAAAAGAAATTAACAACTAGCTTAAATAACAGCGGAATACTCCTTTAAGTACTTGCAGCCACATTTACTGTGTCACAGGTGTAAGGTTTGTACTTTCATTTCTATTCACATCACAGTGTAGTTCAGACAGATGAGTATGACCACCAGCAGGAGGGGCCGCACCCTGTCAGCAAGTCCGTTCACTGTGACGAAGGCCTCCTGGATGCTGTTGATCATCAGGACTGATCGACACGACCCAGTGTCGTAGCACATGCAGTCGAAGCTGCGGTCAAACCGGTTGATGTCATCCTGCGAGAGGCCGCCACTCACAGTCAGCGGGCCGCCACGCCGTTGTCGAAGGATCTGGTAGTGACGCGGGTCAAGATGAAGGTAGACGTCATCATTCCAGCGCTTCCTCACACAGCGACCTCGGCCCTGGCAGAGCGCCACACTGCAGAGCCGTGCTGCTGTGGATACGTTGAGGATGTATGGGTTCATGACCCACTCCAAATGACGTCGAGCATCAAAACAGGAGTCCTAAAGGATTGTGGGATATGGAATCAGTTAGTGCAGTGTTAGTAAGGTCATGAATAAAAATAGGTTACCTAAAAACTACAAAGCGGTGACATGTTCTACATCTGTATCTGTGACGTTCATGTCTCCCCAGGAAACCACGCCGGCAGCACCGAGAGCAGCAGCTTCTCCAATGGTGTTGACCAGATCAAACTGCAAAGACATGATAGCCAGTTAGAGAAGAGCAGGAAATCGCATTATGTCGACTGTAAAACAAAACTCATCACTGGGATTCATGGCTAAAATAAGTCTTTGATGATCAAGTAAGCAGCATATGTAAACTGTCATGACAGCTCATTTTGGTGACATTTTCACAAGAAAATAACTAAAAAAACTTTTCGGCCATAATGGCTCACATCCCTGATAACAATTAAGCATTTCATAAGAGCTTTTCTAGAAAATCACAAAGTGAGTGCATGCAGACCGCTGTGGAACATAACATACACCTCATATCTAAAATGCAATGTAAAGTTGTCTGGTGGTTAAAGTTTGTGCTAACAATTGCAAATCAAACTGTCCAAAACTCCAGATTTTTGAAAAATCTGTTAAACTATGATATACCTTAAGTTCCAAATGAATATGACCAGCACAGACACCAACTCAAGATTCGCATTTCATATACATACATACAGTACATAGGAAATACATTGTGCCTAAAGGTAATTAAAAGCTCTGTTGCTTTGAAGGAGCAGAGGACTGTCTGACCTCTGACATGTAGTCATCAACGCTGTCCTTGTACACAGGCCTGATGTAGGCGTAGATGGGGATGGAGTAGGAGCTGTTGGGGAGGGTTGACACCCTCACGGCCTCCTGGATGCGATGGCGCACATACATCCGGGCCTGCACAGAGTCTTTGAGCGCCAGCTCCAAGTAGATGGATGGATAGAGTGCCGTAGACTCTTTCCAGAGCCACCGCAGGTTGTCGTTCCTCTCCTTCTCAATGGCAGGACATTCTCCTGTGAAGCCAACCATGTCCTGGTTGTAGTCGTAGTTGTAGCAGTCGGGGTACAAGTAGTAACCCCAAAGTCTGTTGGGCCTCATTGTCTTCCCAATTCGGATGGATCGGAGAAAGTACTTCTTGGCTGCGCGTTCAAACATATTCTTTGCCTTTTCTTCTGCCTCGTCATCAGACAATGACGCATTCCTCTTCTTGACCGTTTCAATGGAAATCTGTCGATAGATATCTTTGCTGCCCCAGTTTCGAATCCACTGTGGTCGCCACTCCTCAAAGTCAAGCACGGCAAGGCCCCGCCGGTTGCCAGGGATGTAGTACTCAATGTCGTCCTCAGCCAGCTCCCGGTGCTCCTGCATGTCTATCAGCTGAGGCAGACCTTCATCATACATCTCTCCAGTGTCTTCATCCACATAGGGAAAGAGGCCAAAGCGGTCAGTGTAGAATATGGAGATGGTCTGGTTGGTGGCTGTTTTCAGCGTACTGCTGACAAAGTCAAAGTGGGAGAGGTCGAGGGGCAAGCCGAAGCGGATGTCACAAAGCTCGGTTGGGGCATTCCACATAAATGTAAAGTGGCGGCCAGGAAGGATGGGAGGTTCTGTACTCAGTAAGGCTCTGCCGAAGCACAGCAGGGCCAGCATGGTGACCGAGATGGACAAGAGGTGCCGCTTGTCATGGAACAGCTTGACTTGGGACATTTTGTAACAAGAGTTGGATCTGTGAGGAAAAGAAGGCTTGAGTCAGAAAAAAATTAAGAGTTTAAATGAGTTACAACAAAATAATATCTTAAAAAATCTTTAAAAATTCTAAAATATAAATCAAATATACAAGTGTTGCTTGGAGTTGCAAAGTAGCTCTCATCTTTTAAATAAAATAAAAAAATCTCTTTAAAACAGGACAAAAATAAAATAAATGAGTACTTATATACATATTGAATTTTAATTTTCACAAAGGTAAAACATTACTTAGCAACTTTCAACCTTCTACATTTGTTGAATGGCAACGTCTGCTTGTTTCTCCACAACACTGGTCAAGAAATGAAATATCTTGGTAACTGGATACATCACTGTTACACTGTGTGCAGCAGCTTTTCTTTCTATTATGATCATAAATGTATTTAAAGATAAGTCTATCTAATAGTTTAATGTCATTTAATTTTCATTTAAAAACTAAATGACATTGGGCCTGCTCAGATAAATAAACCAACCTCTAATGTAGTAATATGTTTCGTCAGTTTAGTTTTTTGTATAAGTAAAATTTACTTTTGTGTAATGTAAATGACTAATCTGAATAAATAGTTGTTCAGGTATTTACTCATTAATGTTGGCGGTTAATTAAAAATGACAAAGCTTTGGACTATTTAACTTATTTAATGATCAAACTTCCCTTTTTTTTGCACATATCTATTAAACAAGCAATAGTATTGTCTCCTTTTTTATCGGAAGGATCTTCAGTTCAAGCTTCAATGAGTCATGTGATGCCGACAGCAGTGATACGGCTCCACATGTTCTGACTTAAGGGTGGGAAGATGTGTTTTTAATTTCCTGAAGACAAGGAGCTGACTCAGTAACCACTTGGATTCCCCTTTGTTGCATAAAAGAGATGAAATGTGAAATGAACCTCAGCTGCTTCAGTTAATGTCTCCGTTATTGTCAGTTCATGACAGTGACAATCCAACAAACTGAGAATTACAAAGTAAAATGTCAACAACTCCTCGTCCACCCTCAGTGACTGAGGCTGTGACTCTCCTAAGTGAGGTATTTAACCTTCATTTGTTCTAAAAGAGTTTCTCTGTTGTAGTAAACTCAACCACAGTGGGATTAAAATTTCGAGATATTAGCTATGACGTGCAGTTACAATTACAACTCAACACCATTGGCTCCTAACAAAGATGTCCATCTACTGCATTAAGAGATTTTATTGATTTATTTATTTTGGCTTAAAAGACTTAAAAGACAGTCAATGTGCCAGAAAACCTGAAACACAGGATCCAAAAGAGGATTAACATCTCTGTAGGGCTGAAGAGTTTGAAAGACTGCGAATGTTTCTTCACACAGAGTCACACATCGTTCACAGCAGGTGTCGGTCCTTCAGAGGAATCAGGTAGTTTAGTATTTTAGGAAATAATTTTATCATGTTTATATCATATTTTCTTGCATTAAGCAACCAAGTTACAACATGAACATGTCAACTGACTTTTAGAATGGCCAGGAGGTACGGTTTGTTACCATTTGGTAAACCTATTTGCCCTTTAACGTCAGCATGTATTGCTTTATTTTCTGCATATTAGTTCAGTGTTTTATTTATATGGTTTGTAATTGTTCTTAAATTTGTTCTAAAACTATCATTCTGTTTGTTTGTAGAACAAATTTAACATAAAATACATTTTAAAAAATGTATTAGAAACATAGTAATTTATTTAAAAATCCCATTTTTAGATTTATGTCTGTATAATATCATCTAACTGATGCTTATGTGTTCGATATTTGTGTGACAATGCCAACAGTCCAAGCGCAATCAAAACCTAACAGCCTCAACAAATACATTTACTTCATTTTATAGTCTCTCACTGTCGTATCTTTTATGTCTTACAAAAACTCTAATCAAATCTTATCTGCACCCTTCACCCTTTTTTACAAGCTCAGCTGTTAAACTGTATGTAATGAATGATTTCTGCCCGTCAGCATCAACTTGTAATACACTGCTCACTATAGTTTTACACACAGTCTGTACAGTATTAGTGTCTTCTCAAGGTCACAGAATGTAATATCTACAGTCACTCTGTCTCCAGGCAGCTCACAGGCCACTTCTCCGTCTGACAGTTTTATGACTTCTGTAGTTTAACAGTTAAATTACACTCCTGTCAGGTTATATTCGGGGCAGAAAATGAGTCAGAGCTGATGGTAAACTCAACCCCAGTAATATTCAGGTTAAACTGTCTATAAACCTTTGACCCCAAATGAGGCATTTAAATGAGATGTCATTAATTAAGCACCAACCTGCTGTGGGGGGTCCTGCGTCCTGCCGTCCACACAGCACGCTCGGTGAGTCCTCACGATTATTACCTGTTAGCCATAAACACTATAACTTCGTTCTCCTCTGGGAGTCTAAATAGCTCCTCTTTAAATAAGCTGTTGCAAGAGCTTGAATTACAGGCGGGACACTTGTGGCAACTTGTCAGAGCTGAGTGATCTTCAGCCTTGAGGTGTTCCTTCTTTTTATTGGGCCGCCCTGATGTTTTCCAGCCTCCCTCCTTCCCGCCTGGAGGAAGATATCTAAGGAAGCTCCAGGATTAGGACAATGTGTGGACACTCCATCACTCATATCTGAGACTTCTGTCCAGACATGTGAGGAATGCACCAAGTGAGAGTTTGAAACTGGTCACCTGTGGTTGGAAATGTACTGAGACAAAGTGTTTAAGCCACTTGTTTCACCACTGATGATGAGCCACAGGAAGAAGCAACTCAGCCGGTTCTGTTACGGAGCATCAGTTTCTGCTCAAAGTTCATCTTGGTGTTAACACCAGCTTTATCTTTAGTTGACAAAGGGAAGATATTACATCTCATTTTGCCAAGAGAATAAGTGACAGTCTCTGGGTGAGTTGTGTAAAATCACTAATTATGATAAACCATTGTACAGAGCTTTTATTTAGTTTCTGTTCAAATTGTGTAAAAGGATGGCACATAACATTACCAGTAATAAGAGTGTAATATATAAGCAGCATGAGGACATAAATTAGTTTTCACAGCCACATTGCGCAGACCTGCCTACATTTTTGCAACAGAAAGCAAACGCCTATGTCGTAAATCTTTCAATTTTCTTAGAATGACTGGGTTTAGAGTTTGACAGAGAGTTAGGATTAGTGCAAATAGTCATGGTTAAGGTTACGGTAATTCTTCAGGAAATGAATACAAGTCAATACAATGCCAAATGATGAGATGGTATCATTGTGTGTGTGCACTTAATTCTCTAACTCTCATTACACTCTGAACGGTTTTGGCTCCTGCCACATTTTTACTCACTGTGGACTAATTTTTCACTGCAATATAAAGACCTGCACCTGTATGGAAACATCACAGCCATGGATAGAAGTGAAGACAGCTAAGAAATCCATCCATCCATTATCTATACACCGCTTAATCCTCACGGGGGGGCTGGAGTCTATCCCAGTTGACTTAGGGTGAAGGCAGGTTCACCTGGACAGGTCACCAGTCTATCACAGGGCTACACTTAGAGACAGACAACCAAGCACACTCACATTCACACCTACGGACAATTTAGAATCACCAGTTAACCTTAACATGTTTTGTGGACTTGTGGGAGGAAGCTGGAGAACCCGGAGAAAACCCACGCTGTACAGGGAGAACATGTAAACTCCACGCAGAAAGATCCCGGGTGTCCTCACCGGGAAATCATGATGTTCGCGTTGTGTCTGTCATAACAGTCTACATATGCTGGTTACTTGAAATCGAGATTTAAAAGTGTGAAAGAGATCTGTGTGTAGCTGTGAATTAGATTAAATAGTTGTACATGATATTCCTCCTGATGCTGATCAGAACAGAAATATCAGACTTTGGAGATGTACCTCACTGTCTGTGGTGAGCATCAGCCCATCGAGCACAGAGAGATATGAGCTGACAGGAGGCGTCCTAGATGTCAGCAAGCCCTGCAATTGTGATTGCGAGTGGTTTATCCTTGTTTTGTACAGATAAACTGGAACTTCTGATGCCAAAGTGTGACATGTTGTCAGTTGCTTTTTATCTGTATCAAATTTGTGTGAGATATCTCTGGGAACAAGGAGGGAGGGGAGGGCTGGGAATGATCCATGATGTCTTTGTTGTCCTGTTGACCTTTCCAAATATTAGTGTTGGATGTGGGAGGCCACAGGGTAAGTTGACAGGGACCTCCTCTCTGTTTAAATGAACCCAATCTGTTCTGAGAAAAGACTGAAATTGTTAATGAAACTTGTTTTTTTAGCAGTACATGCTGATGAAATCTAGATATGTAATGCCATCAAGTTGTTAAAACATTCAATACCTTTCTGTAAAGTGGGATCTGGACCTGACCCAAATACCTGAGCTGGGACCTGTAGCAGAATGTCCATTTGGTGCAAGCGGTTCACAGAGCGGTAGTGTGTCTTTTGTTTTGGGATAGTTGTGTCTTTAGTTTTCGGATCCAGCTTAAGTTTTCCACTGAACTTGTGCAATAAGAAGCTTGTGGACAGTATGTCACGATGTCTTAACGCATTGATCTGTGTCAGGGGAGGCCAGACTCAATACTAGTGACTGAGTGACATTTGAAAGAGTGATATTGGATGTTCTTATGCATGAAATCCTCTCGAATATATGTTTCCTGTGACCAGCATTGAAAAAGTGAAACAAAACCCTTAATCCTATTGTTCACTAACCCCATTTTTTAAAGCCTGAATACACAGTTTGCAAAAGTTAATTGTAATTAAATTTTTACTATGATATGTATTGTATGTATATGGTGAGATCAATAAAGTTTTGAGAAAATATACACTTTCTATATCAAGGATAAATCACGTTGTCACAATCATTTCATTCGAAGAGGTAAAAAAAAATGTATTCCAACTTTATGGGCAGCGGTGAGTTGTGTGTGTGTGTGTGTGTGTGTGTGTGTGTGTGTGTGTGTGTGTGTATGTGTGTGTGTGTATGTTGTACAATGGTTAACCTGCTCGTCGTGTTTTGTTCATCAGTCCAGTCAGTGGAACCACAAGAAAACAAACTGCAAATAATCATTTTCAGGAAAGCATTTATTTAGAAGCCTTTTGGTTTGCAGTTCTAATAAATCATAACTTTGTCTGATGCTTGATTTTCCATTTAATTTTTTAAAATTTTCCATGTTAAGGTTTTGAATTTGTTTTCATAAACTCAAAGCTTTTTAATGCAATGTAGATCATTTCAGATCAGATCTGTGGCTCAGCAGAGGGCCCCCTTCCGGACACATTTCACTCTCCTCACACATTAAACCCAGATTAGTTTGATCGTGGTTGGATGCTTCAGCATGGGAGAACAGCTTGACTGGGCGTAGCACTGACAGGTGAAGTTTTCTGCCCAAGCATCGAGGTCTGCAGCAGAAGGGAGGCCAACAGCCACGTACTTCTTGTCAGCCCGCAGGATTTTGAAGTAGGTGGGGTTTAGGTGCAGGTAGTGACTGGAGTCGTAGTTCTTCCTCACACAGCGGCCCTTCCCCTGGCACAAGACCTCGCTGCAAAGCATGGCAGCTGCCGTCACGTTGGCAATGTACGGGTTGAAGGTGGACGTCAGGTACTCGGACAGAGACTGACAGGCAGCCTGCAGGGACAGAGGGAGGTTGACAGACTTAGGTATCACTGTTTTAGTTAACAAAGAAATTGGTATATAAAAAAATCAACACTTTTATGAATGCAACAGAAAATTAAAACACGTTATTTCAATTAAAAAAGTTGAAAAAAAAAAAGATTATTGCACCAATGCTTTTTTTTTTCTGTTACGAACTAAAAAGTAATTAATATCGCTGAATTAAATGCATGTGTGCAAGATAAACATTCTTAGATCAATTCCCTTTTCAATAACATGGGAAAAGTAGCTGGACCACTGCATTTTAATGAGTATTCAACTTTAAAACTTTGTGTTTATGCTGCCACTCCATAAATAAGTGGTAATTACATTAAGATCCCTATCAATTGCAGTAGGAGAGCTAATTCCTCTAACTCAGTGTAGTTTGTTGGTTGAAAATAATTTCTTTGAAAGTTGTCATAAGAGTGACGCAAAATGTTGCATTAACTTTATATGCTGAACATTAATGTTTACAGCAAATAGCTGCAAAAACAACTTGGACAGTTAAACTACCAACAAAGTTTCATAGGGGTTGTGAGCTTATTCAAATATTAGATAAGCTAGTACTGGACCAATACAAAACTAGCATAACATTAAGCAAGGACTCATTCCTAAAAAATGCTCTGACTCACGTGGGAAAGCATGAACATATCGTACCAAATAGCAACAAAAAGTGTTTGGCAAGTTCTGTTTATTAAACTTCGTGGGGAAAAAAAAGTATTACTAATGCCTGTGGATACTCTGCAGGGAATTTAAGGGGAACTTACTCTGTACATTCACTAGAAATGATCTTGGAACTGGTTATTTTCCACAGTTAGGTATGTTTTACAATAAGCAAATGGAAGACAGTGTTTTGAGAATGGAAGGTGCACATCAGACCAAATCATGGTGTAAAAATCAAGAGAAAAAAACATTTTAAATCAATGAGAATCAATAAATCTTTTCATAGACTCAACCACAGGACAGTTAGAATCACATTTACAGAAGAACATGCACTGGAGACGTGAAATTTTATTTTTTCGGTCTAGAAATTCACTTCAGTCTACATCTGATGATGGAATGTGAGAGGGGGGAAAAGCCTGGGGGGAGATATTTGAGACAGACTGTAGAGAGGACATGGTAAATAATATAGGTGGGAGCATCAGAGGGGGCTGGTGAACTCATACTTAGTAAAGAAATCATAAACTAAAGTGTACAAAGAAATTTTGCATACAGACTTTAAGAAGTAAGACAAATTACTCAAGCTACAGATGTGACATTTCAGCAGGATAATGCTCTACAGCGACCGGCCCTGACCTAAATTCCACAGAGCACCTGCTTGAGGCCACGGGCAAAATAATATCAACTCGTCAGTGCTCTGGTGCAGTTGAACTGAATGCTTTGCTGATAGAAACATAAAGGAAGGAAAATCTGGCATAATCCCTATCCAGATGTTGTCAAGAAGTACTGCAAACTAAAGGATGGCAAAATTAAGACTGATTGATTTTTATTTTATTTATTATTTTTTAAAGATTTGTCCTTTTTGTAATGTCTTCTTTTTGTTGCACAGTCTTGAGAAAAGTCACCTTGCATTTCACTGCACATAGTACATGAGCATGTGACAAATAAAAACTCTGCTATATTTCTAGTAGTTGCACATTAACATTTCAAGAAGAGGTCATTATATTGTCTGAGTGCTGTAGGGGATGTATTTCCTCATTTTCCACTTCAAAAACTTAACAAAATATGTGGTGTTGCCCAGGTTGCCTAAAAATTAGACATAGAAAGGTCAAATGAAACTGCAGGAGTTCTTTCACACATCTGTCAGCAGAGATAACACACACACACTTCAGTGTCAAGACTGTTAGTTCCTCCTAGAAGAGGAAACCAAGACAGATTAATTATTTGCTGTTTAAGGCCTCGTCATCTGTGTTCCTGTTTTCTGTACATGTACGGTTTGGTATGTGAGAATTTCCATCTGTTGATTTCGTTACAGTCTTGTTGTGTTAGGTGGGGATCATTTTACAAACAGAGGAGGTAATTACAGCCACCTTCTTAATGTATATGCTGGCAGGTGACTATTGTGGTGTCATTTACTGACTGGGAGCAGACGAGTTCGTCAAGAAGCTTTGCTCACCTTGTTGTTGTAGTCTTTGGTGCCTCCCCACATTACGACGCCAGAAGCTCCCAAAGCTGCAGACTCACCAATAGTGCTGATTAGATCTTTCTGAAAGAGAAGAACCACACAAAAACTTAACAAATACAACATTTTCAGACTAATTCCTTCACTTCAGGCCATTTGTTTTAGTTCTTTATGAGGTTTTTTTGATTAAAAATTAAGATATTTGCTGTTCACATTGTTTCACCCATTTAGTGTTTAGCCAGTTAGCTAGCTGAATGTCATACATTGACAATTAGGTTTTAATGTTACGTCAGCTCTAGCAGTTGTGTATCAAAACAAAATACTGTTTAAGTGACAAAACAAATGTATTAACTATGACGGGAGCAATGGAAGCAGTCAGGTGTCTTGTTTCCAGCAATTCCACACAGGGAGGAGTTTGAGGTGGATGGTTGGGTCAGTAAAACATCTGATTTTAAGATGGGAGGCTGTTCTTTATCATTCAGTGCTGTTTCTTTTAACGATTACCTTTTCATTACCTCAACCATGAGTTTATTTTTTCGACTATGATGCTGAAGGTCATCTAATCTACTAGTGTTAGAGTTTAGTGTAATGTTGACACAACAGAATTCTTCTACACAGCTACATCTCAGCTAGCAGAAGCAACAGAACATACTAAAAAGGTGGTTGAAATGTCTGCAACAAAACAAAAACATCATTCCATTTGATAATCAGGTTTTCTTTGATTTTCAGACAGTGGAATAGTGGACTGCATCTGACTGTTTAAAGTAATTAAGGTAGTGTTAGTGAACCCAAGTCCTCACCTGGCTCTGAAACATGTGTGTCTGATCCCTGTACAGCAGCCTGGAGTAGACATAGATGGGGACGGTGTAGGGGCGTTTGGGCAGCGCTGCCACCCTCAGCGCCTCCTGGACGCGGTTGCGGACGTAGAGTGCAGCGCGGGGGGAGTTCCTCAGAGTCAGGTGAAGGTAGATGGAGGGGAAGAGGGCGGTGCTGCGTTCCCACAGCCACAGCATCTGGTTGTTCTGCCTCTGGGTCTTCACTGAGCACTTCCCCGTGTAGTTGGGCTTCTCCCACCCATAGTTGTAGCAGTCAGGAAACAGGTAGAAACCCCAGCGACGACTTGGACGCTCACCGATGGCAAGAGCGATGGTCCTCTCCATGAAGCGCCGGCCTGCGTGCTGGAACTGGCTCTTTGCCAGTTTGGAAATCTTCTTTGTTGATAAAAATGGGGCAATCTGCAGCGCATGAGAAATTGACAGCTTCTGATAGATACGTTTTGATCCCCAGTTCTGATCCCACAGGGGACGCCAGGACTCCCAGTCAATGACGGCCAGCCCAGGAGAGGAATCCTGGGAGATATAGTGATCTATCTGATTCTGAGCCTTGGCCAGATGTTCCGTCAGGTTGCCATTTTGGGGCACTCCACCTCTGTAGAGCTTATGCTTGATGGTGTCAACGTGAGGGTAAAGGCCAAGGCGGTTCTCGTAGAAGATGGTGAGAAACTGACCCGAAACAGCTGCAGGTGTGGTCACCGCCTGGAAGGCTCCTGTGTCCAATGGGATGTGAAGTCGCTGACACTGGTCGGTGGGGGCGTTCCATATGGCCACAAAGGGGTGGTCATGAATCAGTGGTGGCTCAGTCGGTGGGAGGCCTGAGGTCAGAGATGCCATGACACAGAGGGCAACACAGGACAGGAAGGGCGGGGCCATTGTGATGACCCTGGACAGAAAGAGTGGACTGCAAATAGATATCAGCATAAAGAAATTAGCTTCATTTCATTTCAAATCTCTGAAACCTGTCTCTAGCTACACTCTCCCTATTTTCACAATGATGCTTCACGATATCAAATATTATCCCCAGACTTGTTAGTGTGGAGAAGAAGTGGCCAATAAACCACACACCAAGTCAACACTGATACAAGCATATAATAGTATAGTCATAGTTTAATAGTAAACAGCACCCCCAACCCACCTCGCTTCTGGCTTGACATTCCCATGGTGTTTATACTTGCATATAACTGTTTGAACAGATGAACGTGGAACCTTCAGGCATCTGGAAATTGCCCCGAAGGATGAACCAGACTTGTGGATTCCACAATTCTCTTTCTGATATTTGGGCTCATTTATTTGGATTTTCCCATGTTGTCACAAAAGGAATCCATATGTTTGAGGTGTGCTTTAAAACACATCCACAGGTTTGCCTCCAATTAAATCAAATGTTGTCAATTAACCCCCCAAAAAACTTCCAAAGCCACGGTATAATCATCTGGGCTTTCCCAAATAGTTTGAAGGCATAGTAATCTTAGAGTATGTAAACTTCTGACTTTGAAGGAAGTAATAAAACATTTTATTTAAAAAAAAATCTCTCTCATTGTTCTGCCATTTAGCAAATACATACAAATACAATCCTAACTGATCTACGACAGGAAAAGTTCAGTCTGATTTAATGTCAGACAGTGAAAAACAAAGGTTATGTGTCTTTTTATACAGTGTAAACTTCTGGTTTAAACTGTATACACTATCTGGCCACATTATTAGGCGAACTTTTGAAATCTAATACAATCCAATTCTACTTTTACAAACTTTCAATATTTTCAGCTTTTATCTGCATTGTTATAATTTTACATTTATCTTATGTGTATTTATTGAGGTCATAGTGGCTGGTTCTAGTGTACTGAACAACATTTGCTTTTAAAAGTGTTCCCAATATGTTGTCCACCCCAATAATACATTCAACATGATTATACTTGAGAGGGCAAAACCTGAGGAACACTTAAATGTAATACATTGCCAGTGCACTGCGTCTGCTAAGGATGCAACATAAGCTTGGACATTTATTTGGTAGGAAGAAAATAAAGTTTATTGGTAAGGATTTAACTTAACGCTTTGTGGAGACAGATGACCTCTGACCTGATGACTAAAAAATTCACATCATACATTTTCATTATTTTTTATTCTGAAAGATTGATACAGTAGATTTTTTGAAAGCACATTGTCCAAATTTTCAAATGACTGATTCAACATTATACGAATATATCACATAATCTCATTTATCTTACTTGATAAGGGAGATAAACATTTAAAATTATTTAGCAGCATTTATATATGTTGACAACAAGTCATCATCTCCTACCTGCCGCTCTCTTCAGTGATCTGCAAAGAACTGATCGCTGTCTTTAAACTTCTCTGCCTCTGGGTTTTTGCTGCTTCATGTGTTGGAGGAAACAGTTTCTTCACTCTGATCGATCTTTATCTGACTGCTGTGCTAATGCTAATCATCTGCGTGCCCACATTTTGGCAGTAGTTGTGTTGAGGATTCACTTGTCACTTAATATCTTAAGTTAATATTTCTATTGTTGTCATTATATTGACATTTACTTTTAAAATTTGTTGCAGAAAAGAAAAATAAGGAAATCTTGTAAATGCAATCAGACAGTGTTTGGATCAAAGTGCCAAAACTATATTGCAATGTTGCTAATAAAGTTAATTACACATTATTTATTATGTATTTACACAGGCTTAGATGGTGCATAGATAGATGGGTTCATATAAATATTCTAAGGGCACCAGCAACCAAAAAATGACTCATTTTATTTGTTCACAGCGACATGCCTCCAGTCATAAAAGCCCAAATTTAACTACTAATCTCTTTTTATTGTGCTGCGCATTAAAGTATGAAGTAAATAGAATGCAGTTATCATTTCTGTCTATAAAAGGTCTGCAAAGTCACTGGAAAATTTACAGATTATATTCTTTAGAACAGATAACAATTGCAAACAGTTAGGCCCTAATAGTCAAATTCATTGAGCATTTACAAAAAATAAAAAAATGAAAATGAAATTAAGATTCTTCCAACAAATTGTTTCAATTAAGGTCCTAACAATCTTGAATTCTAACACATGTTGAATAAACGTTTCTTTTTAGTTAACCTATCTAACCTTAATTTATTATTAAGTTATTGTTCAGGCTGCAGGTTTGAGTCACTTTAATTTCATTTCCAGATGTAATGAAATGAAAGGAAAAATACTTTATTTATCCCAGAAGGGAAATTCAATAGAATCATAAAAAAATAAATAAATATAAAAATAAATTAAAATTAATAAATAAATAATATATTGATATTAATAAATTAATAAATCATAAAAAAACAATAAAAAATACAATCCTGAGTGTTGGTGGTACAATTTAAAATAAATAAATAAATAATAGAAACAGCTGATTAAATACAAGGCATAGTTGTAGACTAAATAAATAATGTAGTTGCCTCACTCAAAATGTCCCTTTTTGTTTTCTCAACCTTTTCTGTTATTACAGTTTCCCTCTTTTAAAAAGAATGTATTATTTGTTTTGAACACATGCTGGGACTTGATGCTCCACCAGCAGGGCCTCATATCCCAGCACATCGCTGTCAGTGTTGTAGATCTACACCAGTGACTTCTCACTGACTTAGCGTCACACTTTTTTTCTGGGGGTTCTGAGGTTTTAATGGCTGACCCCAGAAAAGTTTGCTGAACAGTTACTATAGGACAAACCTTTTACCTGAGTTCAGTTTGTGCATGAAATATTTAAAAACTCAGAGGACAGAGGAATGTCAATTATATACTGTCTTGCCCAGTTAGTATCAATACTTCAATGATTTGATTAGCTCCTGAGATTTCTGTCATTTTTAGTTTAGGAGTTCATTTTGTTCCAGCTCTAGTGTCTGCATTGAACTTGTTTGACTCTGAAGAAACATTCTTGGGTTTTTGAATGTGTCACTGTCTGTGACAAAGCAAAGACTGTATTCTCTCCAGTCACGTCTCTTTCTCTTTTCATTCTTCCAGTGTTTGGACAGGAACCAGATGGTAGATTACTGTTTTGGATAGATTAGAATGACTTTGATGTTTTTTTTTTTAAGGTACAACTCACCTTTTCACCTCAGGATGTTCTGTACAAAGAAGACTAAAAGTCTGCAGCCACCCTTCTGCCCTTACAAGGCTGTAGTGTTCATCAAATGTGGCAATCACAAAAGGGAAGCTGTTTCTCTGATGATTCAATTTGGTCGCACCAGTTCCCCTAAACACATCCTGTCTTCATGTGAGAAAGCAAAAATGTGGACACACAGTGTAAAGAAATGTCTTTATTAGTAGTGCATTTACATTCAGGTAACATTTTTCATGTGTTGCATAGTCCTTGTTGCATATGTGTTTTACAATCTTAAGATAAAATAAAAAAAGAACACAATAACTACTAGTACTAAACAAATACTGCATCAGGATAAGTAAAGTGGAACTCTTCATACCTGAACTTCACCTGAAGGCTGGTTTGAGAGATTCATGATGACAGATGCTACATTACATGTCTTAAAAGACCAGAAAATCACACTTACAGTCAACCTTAAATGGACATCTTTGGGATGGCCTGACTCAAAGCAAGTCTAAGGTCCACATCTGAGCTGTATTTGGTTTGACTTAACATATTCCAGGGTCGCTTGTCAACAGTTTGATTACACAAGCAATGCAGATTGTGTTTTACTGATCAAACTGCCACAAAATTCATTTGAATATACGAATTTATCCCAAGCTAGCCTGTTCCAGTCAGTTCCACCACAGGCCTTTTTCTGCAGATCACTGAGCTCTTCATGTGCAGGCTGCTCCAAAAAATCTATATATATTGCTGTCTCGGAATCTAAATGTTGTGCTGTATGACTACAAAGGGAAGTTTAGAAGTGGTATAGTTGTATTACATGAAAGAAAAATGTTGCGTAAGATTGACTGTTGTGGTGAGGAGGAAGCTGAGTCTCAAGGCAAAGCTTTCGATCCATGTTGCGCTCCTCATCTATGATCATGTCCTTTGAGTAGTGACCAAAAGAATGAGACTGTAAATGCATGCTGCCAAAATGATTTTCTTTCACAGGGCAGCCGGACTCCCCTCTAGAGATGAAGTGAGGAGCTCAAAGGAGAGCTGCTGAGGTGAGATGGTTTGGGCATGTGGTATGGGCACTTCCTGTTGGGTGTCTTTCCATGTTGGTTTTGTGGGCATGTGGGGGATCCAAGGTAGACCCAGAATGCACTGGAGAGATTATACATTTGTCCAGGAATGCCTTGGGATTACCTAAGAAGAGCTAATCTAGGATAACTCGTCTAACCTGCTTCTATGGTAAGGAGGAATAAATGGGTGGCACACAAAGTCAATAAACAAAAGTGAGACTTGCTCTAGAGGCATAAACTGAGCTGAAGACACGTGTTAGTCAAAAATATTTCAACTTCTTCAAAGGTCTTTAACACCCAAAATTTCAACATTGAGTATCCATGGCCACAATTTCCACAAGCAGCTGTGTGAGTACAGTGGCATTCACTACACTGAGACTGAAGATATGGCAGCACCATCGTACTTCCAGTGATGATAAGTCTATTTTGTCCATATCTGAATTCACAGAGTTTTATAACTTTAGCTTCATATCCTAACAAAACAGGAGCATAAGATCTAAAGTCTGGCAGAAAAGGTCATTAAGGACAAAGACACCCAGTCAGAAAATGTATATTGGATTGTTTAAATGCTGATGTCGTTGGTAGCTTCAATGAAGTCCTAGCAGTAGTTGGATGTTTCCATGTTTATCTAGTTTCAAAATGTAATTTTATGACAACTGAGCAAACATCTATTGATGACAATCAAGGCAAATGGACATTGACAAGAGATGGTTTTGTCAACTTTAACATCCCAGTGAGATACTTCGTAGAATTAATCTTGTCCAGGTAAAGACTATGAAGACAGACACCAAAACAGAGCAAAAATTACTAATTTGAGGCATCATGGCAGTTTTTTTCCCAAATCTGTTTGGATTTGTATTCATGTCAGGTTTTAAAAAACACCCCTGACCTGTATTCACTCATAAGTCAGCTTCCTACTTCCAGTCAGATTTTTTCAGAAGACGAAACCACCAACTTTGAAAAGAAGTGGGCCTCACAGAGCAACAGTACGACAGAGTCTATCTGAGTCAGATACAGTATGTGCCATCTGCTACATCCTGTTCAGTGTTTCGTCATATCTACAGTACTGTACAAAGGTCCAGAGATAGCCGTTTGTAAACCACATTGAGATGAAGCATAATCAAAAACTAAACCCAATCTGTAAGATCTCTCCAAACTAAGACATGGCAACATTAGGTTTTACATTGTCATTCGTAGATCAGTAACAGGTTCTTTATGGTTCTGAACAAAACAGACCTGACGGTAACAAACTCAACAAAAACAGATACATTTTGACTTTGCATGTTTTGCCTTGTCCCAGCAGGCTCACATATGTGGCATTTCCTGACAAACTTTACTTCAAGGTTATAATGTAAGCAACAGTACAAAAAATATATATATTTTATGTATAATGTCAAGTGAAATAACACCTTATGTTGAGAAAATCAACAAGGTTTAATGCCATTACAAATAAACTAGATGTCTTAAAACACCACATAGCAAGCATCAGCTCGTCGTGAGGGTTTTCCTACATATGGCAGGTAGGAATTAGCACCCTTTGGTTTTCATAGACTAAATTGGCTTCAAAACACACTGGAGGATCATCCTGCTGCAAGAAACAAACTACTGAACCAGGAAACCTTTTAAAGCTCAACAAAAGCATGTTTCCTCTGATCCGGTCCTCAGCTCTGCAGTAACGCTGAATGATCATCGTGTCAGACTTTGTTTTTGCCAAAGGTTCAACAAACAGTATCAACCACTCGTAAATAACATTTGCATCAAGGAACTGATGCAGTTGTTGGCCAAAGAGGCAGTGCAGCTTATTGCCAAATTTAATTACAGTCCACCTGGTTGAACTGCGACCACCTTCATCTGTTAAAACGGCAAACGTCTGTGTCATGTAAAGTGCCATCACACCAATTAAAAAGAAAAGGAGGTGTCATGTGTTTCTTTCTTTCTTTCTTTCTTTTTTTTTTTACACACATTTGTTACTTTTCAACACAGCAGCTGTCAGGAAAAAAATGGCTTGTTTGGGTTTCTCATGAAACACCAAGATGTCTTTCTTCCGATCAGCAGTGACCTCTACTGGATGTTACAGGAACAGTTTGGGAAATACAATTATTTGTGGTCCTGATGAGAGTTAGAAGACAAGATGCCACATGCTTAAACATCAGGATACTCCAAGCAGTCAACTAGCTTAACTCAGCACCATGACATGAGATTAAGGGAAAACAAATAACCTGCTTTTGTCCATAAGTAAAACAATCTACCAGCCAGCCTTTGTTAAGTTTTTTAAAACTATTACTTTGTGTTGTGTTTGTTCAATTCAAAGTTTAAAAAACGGAGTGCAAGGGAATAATTTGGTGGGGTTTTATGCCAAACTGTTTCTGGGCCCAGAAATACTTATAATTTCTAGAATGATTAATTCCCTGTGGGGAAAAAAAACAAACAAAAAAATCTTTTCAAAAACTTAAGCAATGTGCTTCAGTGTTTGTTATTGCAAAATTAATCTCTTTGGAGTTCTGTGAAAATGTAGTTCATAGAATTACATAAACAACTAAACATGAACAGTTGATGTTACTCTACATCTTAATAACTAGTTATTAGAATATTATAGCCCTATATTCACACTGAACTGGCTTTATTTCTTCTTCACTTTTTACTGGGACTGTGTTCATGCTAGCTGTAGCGGTTACTGTAAAAGCAGTTATCCTAAAGCTGGAGTCCATGACTTTAACATAAATCAACGTTCATTACATTCAAGCTGATCAAGTTCACACAGTGTTCATTTAGCCTATAGCGTCTGGTGTATTTTACAGTATACCCAAGTTTTAAATTGGGTGTCTGTCACGACAGTCCTGCAACAACAACAACAACAAAAAAACTTTGGAAGCAAAGCAGAAAAGGTTCTGATGGTCCAAATTAAAACAAATCTCACCATATTAGAGGACGGATTAAAAGAAAGCATTCAACGACAATGACAGAAATCATAAGCACGTTGACAGCAATTGTGTAATAACTGCCAGTAGGGGGAGACAAACGTTTCGCAGTGTTGGTTTAAGGTTGACCGGGATTACAACGTAACACACCAGTAGTGTCTGCCATTCAAACTGAGTCAAAGATTTCTCTGGAATAAAACAAACTGACCATGTGTTGAAAAGCAACATTCTTTTGCAGATGTGTTTAAGTCGATTAATCTTTAAGGTTTCATCATACAACCATCTTTACTAGCGATAAGTTCAACAGGAGCATCAACAACAACAGGTGGCGGCTACAGCCAGTCGGTGGTGCTATGTTCTCTCTTCCCTCCGACCGCTCACCCTGCTCGCCCTCCCACATTGTCCTCTTCTTCTCTTGCTCGTCCTTCTCCTTCTTCCAAGGCCCTTCGTCCTCCCTCACTTTGTTGATGCTGTCGCAGCTTTCGCCCTCGTGGCCTTCATAACAATGGCAGCGAAACCTCTCAGTCAGCAGCTGGAGTTCATGCTGCGAGTGCCACCCAGTGACCGTAAAATCTCCGTCCCCGGAGGGATGGATGTGGTAGGTGTCAGGGCTCAGGTGGAGGTAATGGGGGCTACGGGGGTCCCGGCGGACGCAGCGGCCGTTCCCTTGGCACATGGAGTCGCTGCAGATTTCGGCAGCACGCGTCACGTTGGTGATGTACTGACCCAGGCGGTGGCTCAGGAAGGACTTCACCATGGTGCAGTTATGCTGTGGAACAACAGCAGTTATGTGGCAGGTTGTATGATACATCATCAAAACGTAAAGTGATGTCCTCCACCTTTCATTGATAGGAACTTTAAGACTTGCCAAACAAAGAAGCAGTGATCAAGTGTTAAAGGATTTTTCATATTTTCAGCAATTCATTGATTTTTGGTCACGTGAATATCACAAAACAAGATATAAACACAATATCTGACTTATTACTGCCTTTTAACATGGTAGCAACGAGATGCGTATGAGTAACATGACTGCCACATTAAGTTGTGTTTGAGCCCACCTGAGGAATATAAATCTGAAATTCCTCGCTTTGTAGCTCTGTATTTTATCCTCTATTAACTCCTAGTTAAAATGTCATAGCACTTTTACTGTAAATATAAATAACTTATTGAGCTCTTTTTCACAGCAGGAAGTTTCAGGCAATTTTACAGCTGCCTGAACCTCTCTATAGAGCCTTTCTTCGGGGAGGTGCTTCTGAGTGGTCCTGTATAAATGCTATGTGGGGTTTGATATTGATACGTTAAACTTGGAGAAGACAACTCTGATTAGCAAAATTCAGAGAGGACTTATTTTCTTCCCTGTCAGTGTCACTACATGGGTTCATTTCCTACCTGCTCAAAAAAAACGGAAGTTCTGTTCAGTAACCACGATTTGTCATTGTTTTGCCACAATCAGACTGAACGTCGCAGTCAGGGCTGGTAGGTCTAGGTAACATTTGGCCCAGGCAAACTGTGCCAGAAGATTCAACTACTTAAACTTAGTCCAACCACAAGTAAAGAACAAGAAGCTGTGACATCTCTTAGGGAACTAATGTAATTGTACATGCTGATTATTTATTAATTCATATTTGGGAAGTTTTGGCAATAAATTGGTATATTAGCCAATCCATGTGCTTGGCCTGTGGTTCACTACACAATCTGTTCCTTATGGATTGTCATCGAAGTATATGTTCAAGTGCACAAACTTAGCTCCCTGAACTTAGACTTGTCAGACAAAAACCATAGCTAGGTTTTCAAATGTGTCTGGTCCACTGTACATGTTGATCATTTATTATTCAGGATCATTAAAGTTTTAAATAAATGAGTTGCATATAAATGTAATGTCAGTGATAAAGGGTTACAATGGATGGTCATATTGCTCTGGATGTGTAGGGAAGGCAGCTGTTGGCTCACATGGTACCTGTTACAGTTTTATAAGGTGATGAAATGTCTATTTGTCTGAGGTTGGTGTGCAGTTTGTCTGCCCTCTAGTGGGCAAAGAAAATCTAATACTCCTGCTTCAACTCTTGTCCCAGTGCATGACAGTAGCAGGTACTGTACTCATGCCAAGGTTATGACAGTTGGTAATCAGATTTGACAGCTAGAATTGTCCAACCCTAGACAATATAATGAGACGATATGTGTTAGGAGTTACAGTAAGGCTGATGGGTAACAGCTGTGCACAAGAGACCTAAAATCCCATTGCAAACTTTAGAGACCCAAATGCATACACAATCACTTGCTAAGATTCTGGTGGTTCTGAGTGTTAGATGCTCTTAAAAACATGGCCATTATACTTCTGAAAATGTCAGACTGGTTTCATAACACACAGCGACCACATAGTGTCAACCCTCTATTGTCTGACTACTATTTACAGCTGTGGTTTGTCTGGCGTCCAATACAAATCGAGAAGCTTGAATAGAGAATGTGAATGCCAGACAAAAGAAGAAGTATGATAGTAAATCTTCCCCTACATGAACACATGAGCAGAAGGTAAATGTTGTTTGTGTATTAGTGATCTGGCAGTGAGAGCTCCTACCCTGGATGAGGTCAGATTCAGGTCCCCCCAGATGACAAATCCTGCAGCTCCCAGAGCAGCACTCTCTCCAATGGTGTGGATCAAGTCTTTCTGCGGCAAACACACAAATAAAGTCCTCACATCACAACTGTCTCTATCACTAAAACACAGATAACATCAAACACACACTCACACCTTTCTAAAAACATTAAGGGTAGGATCCTTTAGGATTTTTACAAATGTTTGTGAATGCTATGAATTTGTAAAGACATAACTATTTAACTTCTGTACAGGCATATAGACAAACAGATGCATTTTGAGTGACCAGAGACAATAGTTGTGGGTAAGAAAGAGCCACAGGATGACAAGATGAGCACGAGAGAATGAGGTGATTGATTCTCTTGATGGTGAAATGCAAAAAATGTATATATGTATACACACATGCATACATATCACAGAGCTGGTTAGATAATTAAAGGGGAAACAGGTGCTTTTTGTGTTGACTGTTTCTGTCATTTTGTTTTTTTGCATCTTGCACTTGGCTATTTAAAATGCATCAAAGTCATATTTCAAAGCTTGTTTTCATAAATTCTTACTGAATCAGCAGATCATTTCCTGCATTTTATATTTTGTGGATCTCCACTAGATGGCAGTGGCAAGTAAAATCTGACCATCCTGACACTGAGTAAATGAAACATCCATCCATCCA